TTGACTTTTGGATTTTCATTTTGACTTCATGTATACCCGCAGCACTTGAAAGATCATTGTATCATTGCAGGATCAATGTTATCCCATGCTTCTTTAATCCAGGTTGCTACTAGTGAGTATAATGGCCATTTAATTTTGCCTTTTGGTATGTATTCCTTTACGGCTTCATCCATCCATTTATTATAAGCATGGCGAACCTATAACAAAATAAAATTAATAAAAAATCTTTTTAAAATCCATAAAGTTTCAGCAACACTAAAACTAACCTTTGCTTTAAATGATTTATTCAAGGATACATTTAAGGGTTGTAATCGTGAGGTTAGTCCACCCGGAATCACAGCAATATCTGTATTTCTCTCATTAAAATGACATTTTACAGGATTTGTCCTATAGGCAGTAAATGAATCAAGAACAAGAAGCGAGTGTGGATTTGAACCAAAATTAGCTCATCAGCACCACACATTCTTCACCTGCTAAATTATTTCATTCTCATTCATCCATCGACTTGAATTCACATGAACATATACACTATCTGGAAACTGTTCTTGTGATACGTTAACTAACTTAAAAATAATAAATGGAGGCAGTTTAGTATCATCTGCAAGACAAGCAAGAGTTACTATAAAGTAGATACGTTCATGACCTATTGTAAGGATCGAGACAGTTCATTTTCCGTGTTCTTCAATAGTTATCTAATTTGGCAAATTAAATGCCATCGGAGTTTCATCCATGTTGCCGATCAAATTCAAAGGATAGTTATATTCATTTCGTTTATAAAGAATATATGATAAAAAATTCTGCTGATCTTCATTATATCCTTCAGGTAATCTTTGTGTAACTGTAGTGCATCGGCAGTTTACCAACAAATTATGAGACATAAATCCATCTTCCCACTTATATGTAAATTTACATCTAGAAATATCAGGATACAAAGTATGATATTCTTGTTTGCTAGCCAAATTACGAGCTTTTGCACTAATCATGTATCTGGTCACTGTTTTTAGTTATCTTCTTAATTCATGAAACCACTCCAAAAGTTTCTCTTCAAGTTAAGGATATTTTGGCTGTGCAACCGTATTAAGTCATTAAACATATGGAGCTGCATGCATCAAAGTACTCTTTTTCTTCTTCCAGTCGTGAATTTGTTTTGATTCTATATTATATTTACTTGCTATTACCCAAACACTATGTTCATTTTCATTGTAAAATACAACTATCAATTTTTCGTGAGCATTCCATTGTCGACGTTTTTTTTGTGTGATTTTTGCTTGACGTGCATGAAAATTTCCCTTGGCATTTTTTAAGTACTAAAGATTTTTTGATAATTTCTTAAGTTTAAAATTTTGCACATAATCTGCTTTGATTATCACACAAACAATTTCAGAAGAGCATCATGGGCAGTGGTTAAATAAAGAAATATTAAATTCTACTTTTAGAAATTTTTTGTTATTTATAACTCAATTCCTAAATTTCAATCTTGATGAAATGTAATGAATTTTTAACGATGCAAGTCATTAATTTCGCAATTATATTATTGATTACTAGAGTTCTGCAATTTGATTTGATATTTAAATATTTGATTTGATTCGATCAACTTCAAATCAAAGAATGATTTATTTGATCAAATCTAAATTAATGTTTGATTCGATTCG